GTGTTTCTCATAATGTGCCTTCCTGTCTCTGCCTCCCTCTTAATTCTACTTGTCCAGGCCTTGCTGATTGCTGGGGTTTGCAGAGCTTCAAGGGCTACTCTAGGCATGATTCCTTTCGTGACGATTCTAAGATGCTTAACAGTGTCTGACTGCAGAGTGAACAATCTGCACAGGTGCTGTGGAGAGTGTCGATCATTTCGTTTGACAAGTGGTAGAAAACGTGACTCAGGAAATCTCACTCTTGTCACAGCCTCTTTCCACTAAAAGATCAAGATCCTCGTTGGCTCCACCAACAGGAAAGCCAACCCTGAGGACAGGGACCTTTCCTGGGCAGCTGAAACAAGTAAGCCGATTGGATGCGTTTTTCACTTTTCAACTCATTCCTTTGGTGCCAGGTAAGCTATACTCCTTGTTTAGAAGCAAATAGTCAAGCTTGTGTCTGTAATTCTGAATTGTTAGGCATTTTACTTCCTCTGTCTGGAGAGAAAGGCTTCCAAAAGAAGGAAAGATGCCCTTGTTCAATCAAGATTTTATTTATTCAGCTCATCTTTTATGGCTACCAAAACCTTACCCAGTATCTTTTAACTTAGCTTAAAAGCTATGCAGCAGTAATGCGATGGGCAAATTCAACTCAGTAATTCTGGGTTTGAATCTTGCTCCACCCTCTGCCTCCTGCTAACCCCCCTCACAAAAAATGGTGACGTGAAAGTCAAAGGGAAAAAGTAAGTACAAAATAAAACAGGGTCTCAACACACATAAATCCTCTTCCCTGTGCCACTGAAATGCTTTCTGAGGAATCAATATTCTTTGAGGACCAAGTCCAAGTGTTAGCTCCTGTCCTAAAACTCTGTAGCAAATCCTTCACTACTTCCTGGGTTGGTTCTTGGGACACAAAAGGACCTCGTCACACTTTTTGGGAGATGGTTTGATGTGCTTATGACACAGTTACCGCCAAACCTCAGAAAAGACTGAAGAACCGTGAGAAAAATCTCTTTCGAAAAAAAAATCAGAAGGTAATCTTATTAAATTATTGTTATTTTTAAAATACTATGATAAACATGGTCTTAAGATTTTATAATTCCAAATCAGTAGTCAGTTGCATTATTTAATAATCTACTGTTTAAATAAAAAGGTGTTTCTGATTTGAATACCCACAACTGCCTTCCTTTTATATGGTTACAATTTATCATGTAACTCCCACCTTCTTTTAAATGATTATAATTGATCATATCTTGATTATCAGCTCACCAGCTCCTTAATATTGTTATCTGTTTGGGAACTAACGAAACCACAGAGGGAACAACTGCAAACAGCAATATTGATTTGGTTTGGCTTGTTTGTTTTTAAAGAATTACCGATCGCTGAATTCTGAATATCAGAGTTATTACTATCCCGCTAACTCCCCCCAAGGGTGGAGTTGCTCCACCTGGCACTTCCTTCCCATTTTTTTCTGTCACGGTTGGTTGTGCTTCACAGAAGTGTTTCTGAAACAGCCCAACTGTGGGTCTCTGGAAAGTCAACTGCCTCTTAGGTCATCTCACCTGGGCTGGAAGTTGAGGGAAGGACTTCTGAGAGCAACAGGATTTCACACTAGTAATTAAAAGAGCTTCGGGATCTTTCAAGCCTTCACCCTCCCAGAGACCAGTTTGGGACTTTTTCCTACAGTAAAAAGGACTGTTTCCTCACCAGTTTCCCTTTCTCTGCATCTCCAGGGACAGGGTTTCCATGGAAAGGTGCGGGAAATAAATCAATTCCTTCTGCCTTTTCAGAGCTTGCAGGCTTATAGAATGTCCTACTGAGGAAGTTTCCTCTTCTTCATTTGGCTAAGGGAGACCT